CACCACCACCACCACCACCGCCTCCTCTGTAGCTGACACTGACACAGCCGACTTCTCATGTCCACACTGTCCACGCACATTCACCGCACGCATCGGCCTGGTCGGTCACTTGCGAATCCATCGCACAAAGACTGGCGAACCAGTGCCTGGAGCCTCCACCTATACCCACCAAGCTCGTCTCAACTGCCCACACTGTCCTCGCACTTTCAGGCATCGCATGGGCCTATTCGGCCACATGCGCATCCACGACGACCTGCGATAGACAACCTCCGGCCACACCACACATTCACTCACTCCCTACCTCCTCCATCACCACCATCATCCCACCAGAAATCAACACTCATGCACCTAACTGCCACCTCCCACGCAAGTGGGAAGTCCACATCTCGACTTGGTCCCCATGCGGCTTCGGCTGCACGGGTGACTTGAGTCCGAGACTATCCCGACACGTCAAGCGTCGTGGATAGGAAGGTTGCTGATTGAGGCCCGCTCTCGGTTCACGCAGTTCGTCGCGTTGTGTGTGTGTGTGTGTGTTGTGTGGAGTGGGGGACTGGTGGGCTGGGAACGGGCTGAAACCGCACCTTCCACGGCACTCTCACGCAAGTGAGAGACACGCCGTTCAACCCCCGTTGTGTGAAATCCTGGTTTTGTGTGTATGGGGGGCCAGGTCGTGCCGTGGCGCGCGCAGTCATGGTCAGTCGACCATGACAGCCACCGCGCCCATTCCCCACTCCAGTCTGCTGACCGGCTCGGACAGCTGCTGGGGTGTGGGAGTGGGAAGGGAGAGTGAGGTCGACGACTCAGCGCACTTTCTCCTCGCTATAAACAATCTGACACGCTTGAAGCTATCACGGTGTGCTAAAAGCCGTGGCTTGGAAGGTTGCCAACTGACGGGGTACCTTGGACCTCCTCCTTGACCGGAGGCGGTCTGAGAGTCAGGCTGCAATGGCTCCTTTTTAATGTGGTCTTTATGGCACTCCCATCACAGTGTGGGATCCGAGCCAGGCGTTGGCGGCACGCCCAGGTGCGGCTTCGGCCGTGTCAGCCTCCAAATCTCTGTTGTGTTGGTTGAAATCCTGGTTATTTGTTGTGTGGGCCAGGGGGTGTAGTGGAACGCCAAGGTGAGGATCCGTCCGAGCCATCCACCTGCGGCCTCTCTCGTCTCCGGTCTTCTTGACACTGTCTTGACATCGGGCTCGGGCGAGGGAGGAGGAGAGAGTGTAGGTAGATGCTACGCAAGTCTACCATTGCTGCAACTGTGAGGCACACGGTGGACATCATCGAAACCGATGGTCGAACTGTCACACTAGAATCCATGGCTTGGAAGGTTGCCGGCTGACGTTTTATTTCGGACCTCTCAGCCAACCCAGTGTGCGTTTGTGTGGGCTGACTGATTGATGGACTAAGAGTCCCTCTGCAATGGCCCGTACTCAGTGTGGCCTCTATTACATCTACATATAAGATCCTATCTGCCCACCCCCATTGTAGGAAATCCTGGTGTTATATGGGGGGGGGGAGGGTTAGGTCGTGTGGGTGACAGGCACAGACGGGCTGTTTATGGCTTTGCCAGACACTACATTCGATTCACACATTGGTCGACTGACCGGCTGGAATAAAGGACTGGTGTTTGGGACAGGGTATAGCTTGTGAGCTTGTCCCTCAGCATACATTCCTCACTATAAACAGTCTGAGACGCCATCAAGCTATTACGATGCGTTAGGAGCCGTGGCCTGGAAGACTATTACCTGAGGGGATATCTCAGATCTACCCTCAGGACGGAGGGTCAGACTGCAAAGGCTCCTTTATTTATGGCATTCTCGCTCAGTCGGATCCGAACCAATGTGGTGGCACGCGCTTAGCTGCAGGCTTTCGCCGTGCCGACCACGTGCGCTTTCTCCCACCACGGGATTTCTTGATTCTCCCATAACACCGGGTCCAGGTAGGGGAGGAGGAGAGGGTGCGGTAGATGCGGCGCAAGCCTGCTATCAATATAAGCTAATTCACCGTGCCTGCTCTCATCCTGATATGGAGCATACCGTGGACATCATCGAAAACGACGGTCGGACTGTCATTAGACGCGCATATAGCAAATGCATGTCGCACGTACAGTAGGCCTACTCAGACTTTAATTAGACTACCATCTGAAAGGAGATTCTCTCGCCTCGTAAGGACGTAAAAATCACGCATAGACTTTTCAGCTTAAAAGCATAACCCACAAGTACATGACTCAGATCAAGTACTACAGCCATTT